CCGCCTCCACCACCGCTGCCGCCACCCCTACTACCAACCCTACCATCATTTCCATCCCCACCACTATTGCCACCACCACCATCATCACCGCCACCGCCACCTCCATCACCACTGACGTTGCCACCACCCCCCTCTAGCGCCACTAGCTCCACCACCACCACAACTGCCACCAACGCCGCTACCCCCAACACCACCTGTTGAAGAAAAATCAGTATAAAACCAAAAAACAAAATAATGACAAATTGAAATATGCTTTATATATATATATATAATCAAATCAATACAACAGTATAATAAATTACAGAATACTGACTTGGATGGATGATAGAATCCTGCAGAGTTGCAGTGTCCTTTAGACAGTATTTCTCCTCTAACCCTGTGCTTGTAGTTCGATAGGAGTATGTCCACCAGGATTAAACTATCACAAATCAAAGCCTAAGCATTGTGGCTTTGATTTCTAGTAAACAGCGATATGCTTTCTCTCAGGAAGTGCTTATGTGTGAGAATGATAATGTTGTTCAAAATATTGTGTCTTCTGGTTTGGACAAATTGTCAATATATAAAGGTCTGACACATCTTCATCCAATAGTTACATTAACTGTTTAATATATTCGAATTTCAGATAATGATTTTATCTGAAAAACGAATTTCTAATTAATAAAAAGAAATTATTAATTAAATCAACAGAGCCCCAAGGCCCATCTTTTGACAATTAAATATATTTATTTATTAACCAAATATATATATATATTCCAAGCCCAAACAATGATGAGGCCCAACTTTGCCACAACTACGCCCATACCCTATTTAGAATTCCTAAAGTGTTGCTGCTTATAAACCATGAAAGGAAACAACTCCCTTCCAATGTGGGACTAAAAGCAAGTGTATTTTTCCTATACAAACTCTAACACCACCACCACTACTGCTGTTGCCACCAACATTTTTTTATTCTTATATAATTGGACTATTGGTGTTACAAATCTTTTATTTTTTTGAGTGCTATAAACTCCATTAAAATCAATAATAAAAGTCTAACAAACTCAATTAAAATATATACATGAATTCAGTCAAATTCTATGTGGAGTTTGTGAAATTCAGTCAAACTCAATTAAATTAAATTCAAATCCATAAACTTTATAACTCATTTAAAATCATTTAAAATCTTAATTGAATACACCCCCCCTATGAGTGTTACTTTCGACATAAAAGAACACAAAAATTTCCAATATTTAACACATGTTTTCTTCCCTCCATTTGGATGAAGGAATTGAAAATTACATAGAATTCTAAAATGACGGAATTTAGATTTATCATTTCAATTTCTGGCAATTGAAGATTTCAGCGTTTGGATTTATATATGTCGAATTTTGTAAATGACACTATGAAAATTGTGAAATTACACCTATTTTGGTGGAAATTAAACTCGGGAATTTGATGCCCCAATTTCCACGATTTTTTTCACACGTCATTTAATAACTTCCACGCTTAAGTTGCCAAACAAGGGAATTATCAATTTCTCCTCTTAAATTCCCGACTTTTAGCTAAATTCCGAGTTATTTTCCCTCATCCAAACGGTAGTTCAATGCCTATCTCTTTCTCTCTCTCTCTCTCTCTCTCTCTCTCTCCTTTTTTTTTTTTTTTGCAAGCAGGATTTTAGTGAAAGCATGTGTGTGAGCATGGTCGAAATGGCCGAGTTAGACCCAAAATCCGACAATTAAATTAACAAAGGGGCCCAAATTATTCTCGAGCAATCCCAAATTACCTTTGGGCCCAAGCTAAGTTCAAATGTCCCTAATCAGTAAAGGTTAGCTACAAGCCCAAAATCATATATGTGGCCGAATACCTAAATCTTGTCAAACACATGAAATGCGGCTGATCTTATGAAATGCAGCCAAACATGTAAAATTGGTGGAGCCTAAAACGACCAAGCACATAACAGAACCTGTAGATACGACCAAATGCATAAAATAAGTCGAGGCTTAAATGAGGAGAGATAATCCGTATAAGGATTTTCACACATGTTACAATGCACATATATAAGGGATTATGCCAACCTAATGGTCAACTAAAGTTATTGTGGGAGAGCTCAAGATGAATGAAAATCAAATCAAAATTATCATTTAGATTAAACCACAGGAGGATTGAATGCATTTTGGGTCAACCAAGACAATTCAAGCAATCAACTAGAATTAATGATATTTATCAACAAGAAAATTATGACTGATTTGAAGGCTAATTGAGATGCACCGAAACCCTTATAAATACCAAACTTTTGAAAGAGAGAAAGATCCTGACACAACACACAACTTGTCATTTTACATTCATTTCATTTTCTACCCTAGGAGTAATGCAATGTAGCTCATAGTCTAGTTCTTATTTTTCCACCTTAGTTCCTGTAGATTTTAATTATGTCTTTACATTCTTGTTCTTGTTTTTCAATTCAAGTCTTAGTTTACCGTTCATTGCTCTTATTAATTTAGTTTACTTTCCACACTTTAATTTACGCACTCCCATTTTAAATATTACTTTATGCAATTTACATTACACATTTGTCTTTAAATTATTTAATTAATGCATTTTACTTTGCTCACTTTACTTTCCGCACTCGTCTTTTCAATTATATTTGAATTGAAGCACATTTACTTTACGCACCTTGTTCTTGCACTACAAAAAAAAGGTGACTAAAGCCTTTAGTCACCCCCACATTAGTCACCAAATGTCACCAAATAATGGTGACTGTTGCCACTTTTATTTTTTTGTAGTGTCATTTCATTTACAATTCTATACCAATCTCCATTTTCACCCACTCCACGTCACTTGGTTGCTTTGACCCCGAGGTAGTGAAAGAACCTAGGTCGTAATTAGGTTCATTGCTCGGCCAAATAATTGTTTGATTAAAGTCAGATTATGGATGCATCATCAACTCACATTGCATTGAAGCCCAATTTGTAGCTTGGTAGTGGCACGCCGAACACTCAATTAAAAGGGAGACCAAAAATTCCTTCAATCGGCCTACCTGGCCGAAAAGAGGGAAACAACATATCAAAATGCAAACTTGACATATTATAAGACAAGCAGTTCTCTTTGAACATCCAATGGTGTCGGTGCTTAACTAGCTTATCTATATGGCACAATACATAACTCCCATATCAATGTACCATCCAATGGTGTCGGTACTTAACTAGCTTATATATATGGCACAATACATAACTCCCATACCAATGTACCTGCATGAGCCAGAATGTGGGAGGCGACTGGAATGTTGCATGATTATATACAAAACAATTTCATGTACTCTTTCTTTATCTTCGACAGGATAATTTTGTCATGCTTAGGTTTCTAGAGAAATGTCCACTTTTTGTTGTTCTTATTAGTTCTTTTTCTTTTGCCAAACAAAAGAAAGAAGGAAAACGATAGACATCTTCCCGAGAAAGCTTCTCACACTTCCACAAATTTTTTTAAGACAATATTAATTAATTGCAGAGAAGTGCAAGAAGTTGTGGGGATTGCCAAAATGATGCAATGATTTCAAAAGACAATATCTATTAAGAACGTTTCCATATCTCTGAAAGAAGAGGGAAAATAATAGCAAAAAAGTTGGAGACCTTCCTTGCATGTTAAACATACAATTTGAACCCTATATCCGCATCATACAAAATGTTCTTCATTTTGGTATCATCTGAATATGCATGGGGGATTTTTTTTATAAAATAATGGTTAACAGCTGCTTGCTGTGTATCTGGAGGCTAACAAAACCAAGAATATTAGGACTTCAACAGGAAACCATAATCAGCCTAAGAGATATACATTTACCTGGAGGCTAACAAAACCAAGAATATAGCTCATCAGCAAGGGAACATTCATCATTATAAAATATAAATATTCATTGTATTGACCATTAAATGTATTTTTGTTATCCGAATTATGTATACGTCTAGACACACCGAAATCTTGAATTCATATACCTTCAATAAAATGGTATAATCCAGCAGGAAGCTAATTAACCGATGAGTTGGTTGATGATCCTGACGAATAAATGCATTTATCAATGAAATTGAGATCACCTTCAAAGATCCATAAGCAAATTTTAAAATGGATTAATGCATGTTTTCTCTTCTTTATTGCACTTACCAAATTGATTGGCATAGATTACTGACTCAATTAAATTAAGGAAACCCTCTTTAATTATAGTTTTTTCCTTTAGTTCGAAGCTGATGTGAGAAGAAAAAAAAAACAAGAATATTTTCTGAAAAAATAAAAAAAAATCATATACATGCAGGAGATTAGAGAGAGAGTAGCTGATTAATTAAGAGATCTACATCTACAATAGACCACTGACCACCGTATATACCCGATAGGCCTGGACAAAAAAGTAAGTACATTGCTACCAAAAAAAAAAAAAAGTAAGTACATTTAAAAAAAACTAGGGTTTTATCTGTAAGCTTGTGGAAGCATTTCTGGATAATATAAAAGAGGGCCCGATAAGGTACACCACAGGGAGACACCCAAAAAAAAAACCCAATAGTTTCTAGTCTGTAGGGTGCTGTCTGTCACACTCAATTGTTGCAGTCATGCAAGACAACCACTCAATTTGTCCATAGCTAAGAGTTCTCGTACGTCCTTTTAAAAAAATAATTAGCCAAAATTACAGCCAATGAAGACTTTCTTCACACAGATTATTGCACTTGTATAAAAAGTAATAAGAAAATGGAGGAAGAGACAGCTCATTTCCCTATAATTCCCTGTGTGAAAGTACCCATGGTCCAACCAAAGCCTTACACATTAAAATTGGAGCAAGATACCCCTACCATCCCATAACCTTATTCTAATGAGGATTTAAGTTGAAAATTCCCATAAAAAGAAGTTAAAAATTATTATGTCAATCATTAAATCAGATATGAACATTTTTTTATATGGGATTTAAGAAAATAATATAAAATAATGTGAATATACTATGTGTAGAGGGATGATGAGAGGTGGGTGGGGGACAAGAAAATATAAGGACCATAATAAATACGCGATGAAATTAGATAGATCAATAAATACAAAGGAGATGACAGGCCAAAGGGGTTGAAAAGATTGACCTGCGTCTCTCCCTAATCTCCCTCCAATCTCCATCGATCCATCATGCATTAGCAAAAATCTCACATTCTCCATTTGTGTCATCGACATTCAACCCCATGGCTCCAATTTCATACGGCGAACGATCGACGAAAGCCTACAAAAAAAGATCAGAAGCAACCACAGAGAAGCAGAGAAAAAACAAAGAAACAAAAACAGATGATTAAGTAATCTCCATAGATATTAAATTTCATGAAATTTTGATGATCTTTTTTTCTGCTTCTTGACCATCCAAGTGGATGCATCTATTTAGAAAAAAGAAGATATATAAATAATAATATTATAACTGATCATGAAGAGTCTTAGCAAAATAATATAATAAAATAGCTAGTAGTCATGAGAGTGGTGGTACATTGTTGCTGGGTCACAGCCACCTTGTGCCCTATGGCTACTATGGCTCCCATGATGATCATGATCTTGATGATCATGACCGTCCATATTTCTAGACCCCATTTGAGTTGCTCCAAGATTGAGATACACCAATCTAGAATCCAAGTTTAGGTTGCCAATGTTGCCGCTGTTGCTGCCACTACTATGGTGATCGTCGCTGATAGGCGGGTAAATCGCAGTCGAATTCGAAGAATTGGGAGCGTTGTTTGCATTGTTGTTGCCTTCTTCGCGGGAAAGAACAAGAGCAGCCGATTGAACAAGCTCCAGGCAGAGCCTGAGCTTGTTTGGTTCAATGTGGGTAAGTCCCGGGACAGCCCCTTTGAAGAGAAAATCTGAAGTTAGGGTTCTTAGTACGTCGAGGGGAGTAACCCCATCGACGGTCCGGACATTCGGGTCGGCGTGGTGGTCGAGCAGGACTGCCACCATGTCCGGCGACACCATTTCGGATGCAATATGAAGTGGGGTTTTGCCAGCTGGCCCTGCCGGGTAGTTAACATCTGCTGCTCCAAGTTCTAGTAATGCTTTGACAACCTCTCGGCTACAATTTTCAACTGCATAGTGTAATGCCAATGCCTCGTCGAGATTTAGGCCTTCGCCCATTACCATGAGCTTGACGAGTTCGACATCGGATGAGTCCAATGCNNNNTGCCCGCCTCATCCTGCGGATTTTCTGGTCCTCGAGATCGGCTGCTGCCCCGAGGTCGTGGTGGTGATGGTGGTGGTGGTGATGAGGCATCATTGAGCGGCGGGCGAGGGAGGATTTGAGACGAAGCTCTTCGATTTTGGCCACGACATCGATGGGGAGGTGCTTGGCCAGGACTTCCGGTGGGAGGCCCGATTTGGCAACAAGGTGAGAGCAAGTTGTCCAGAGTTGATGCATGTCTTGTTTTCTTGAAGCTAAGAGGACTTTCATCACATCATCAATTGAGGCCTTTTCCACCATGCTTGCCAATTGCTTCTGTGAGGACATAAAAAGAAAAAGAAAAAAAAACGAGGACATGTATAGATGAGAAGTGTAGTTGGAATTCCATTAGTGAGACGGATGTACTTTTGGGATGTTTTTGTTTATTAATAATAAGATTTGTTTTGATAAAAGTGATGGGATGTTTTTGTGCTAAAAATTATATGTGTGGGGAAGCTATAGGAGTCCTTTTCTTGAATTTTGTATTCCTTTCCGGTTAAACCAAATAAGATTTGTGGTGTTTTACTGTGGAAGACAAGACTGGATATCAAGATCTAAATTTAGAAAGTTAGGGATGTGCAATTAAAAGATAGAAAGAAAAAAGACCAAATTCAAGAAACTTGCAAAACGGTACATGAAATCAAGAAAAACATGTATTCTTTCCTTCCAAAGAAAGTTTAATACAACCTTCACTAAGGAAAAAGAAGAAGAAGAAGAAGAAAATGAGAAGGAGGAGGAGAGAGCTCTCTGAGGTATAAATATAATTAAGCACACCATAAAAGAGATTATTGCAACTACTATGGTTAATCAAAATAACATTAGACAATGCTACTCCTAAAAAGAGGAAATAAAAAGAGAAATTGGGACGGAAAATAGTTTGAGATTGGACAGAAAAACATCCCAACTTCACCCAGTTCATCATAAAGACCAATAGTTTGGAGAACAAAGAACAAATGAAGTGATGAAAGAGAGAGAAAAAAACAACCCAGTATCAACAAAAGAAAGAGAAACACCAAATCAAAACCAAGGAATTGTAGAAATTCCCAAAACCCATAAAACATAAGACAGAACAACACACACAAAAACCAAGAAAGAGAGCAGAGAGAGAGAGAGAGTGATTAGACACACACAAAACACACAGTACCTGAGTGAGCAATGCAAGTTGTTCAACACCAAAGGATCTAGCGGCAGCAAGAGTGTCAAGAGCAAGATCAACGGCGGAGGTGCAATGCGTGTGCCAGCACCCTCTCTCTCCACAATTAGGCCTTGGCTCATGTTTTTGAGGCACTATCGAGACTTGTCCACTGTACAAGAACTGCAACAGCAACAAGAACACCTCGTACCCCACCGAGTTCACCGGTATCACCTGCTGCTGCTGCTGAGAATTGCCCCCGCGATGGCACGAGGACGAAGTGCCACCGGGGCTCATCCTCGACCCGGATATCGGGTCGAGCCCCGAAGGAGGGGCCGGCCCACAAAAGAATTTCCGGAAGAAGACCACAAAAGAATTTGCGGAAGAAGAGGCTCCGGGCAGCTAAGATGCACCTGTGGGCATGGACTAGACGACCCTCCACGCTGAAGGTGACGTCACTGAAGGCTTGGCCATTGATGAGCAGATTTAGGTAGTCTAGGGACAGAGATCTTAGAGACTCTTCAAGGCTGCTCATGATGCTTTCGTTCTGGATATGGTGGTAAGAGCAATTTTTTAGGGTTGGGAGAGAGATAGAAATTGAGAGCTGGAGAGAGGAGCTAAAACATTAATGGGTTCATGTTTGTTTTCTGTAATTCTTACTTTTTGGGGGGATTGATTGGTTTAGCTGTTGAAGGATGAAGAAGAAGGAGAGGAACTCTCTCTACTGTTATTGTTTTTTGACAGATTCTTTTGTCTCAATGGAGTGATATTGTGTTTGTGTGTGTGTGTTGGTAGATATTTTGTGAGAGAGAGAGAGAGAGAGAGAGAGAGAGAGAGAGAGAGAGCAAATTGGGTGGCTGTTCTGGGCGGCTGAGGTATTTAAAAAAAGAAATCTAAAAAGAAAAAAAATAATTGATTAGTTAAAAAATTGATGGGAAAGGGGAGAAAATGATGGGAGGGGGTCAGGGGTAGAGGGGAATTCAAGAATAGAAAATGAACAAAAGGTTTTATTTTATTTAATTAATAATAATATTGTTTTTTGGTTGAATATTATATAATTAATATTCATGATTAGCCCCGTGTTTTACTATCAACAACCCTAAGTTAACAGTAATTACCTCATTATAGAAATAAGTTGTCAGAAAAACAAGTTTAAATTTTCACCCTTTTATGGAAGTGGGGGATATTGGATATTAGGATATCATTTCTTTTGTGATTTCTGTTGACCGCTCTTAGACTAATGACTAATGTGGCCCGAACTACTTTTAGCTTCTGTGTATCTCTAGATGCCTGTATTTCTTTAACTTTCTCAATCATAGGGCAAGGTTTAGACTGCAATTAATACATGATAATTATTTCTCTTTAATTGTATGCTTGGCTTTTCATGCCCTACTTAAGCTTATAGCATGTGAACTGTAAGGTGTGACAAAATGGATCCGAACCTCTACATTTAGAGGTTCTGTATTTACCCGTATTTCGCAATATTTATTTTTACCCTATTCCATATTAATTATTATAATAAAACCTTTACAAATTGGATGTGTTTTATTTTTCAGCTTCTACTTTATTATTATTATTATTTGTTGTTTCTTTTCTTTTGTTCTAAGGAAAGAGAAAATGTGGGGAGGGGAGACTTTGTGTAGCCATTCTAGCAGTTTGCACTACCTTTCCATCTGTCCATTCAACAGATGTGATTTAGATCCATCATCCCATAAGAACCTCAATAACTAAAGAAGTTAAAAAATCAGAATTTAAATTATTCCATTGTGACTATGCTGCTGTTGTAATGTAAAAAAAAATTAAAAATATATATTTCGGTTCCTCCACTGTTTGGAATTAAAGTATTGAAAATAATGATGAAAAGAAAGTAATCATATTGATAGTTTCATTAGTACATAGAATGACTATTTAGTTAATGGCATTCAGTCTTCATTTTTTTATATAGAGAAATTCCAAGTTCAAATCTCATATATGACAGTTGTTGCATTAGAAAAATATATTTTTAATGATATAGAAAGAAACAACATATCATATCCGACTAAAAAACGACTAAAATGGTAGAAGTTTTGCATATACATACCGTGAAACTTATACTATGAATTTCTCTGTATGTCCATTTCTGTCAAGAAAATTTATTTGCTAAATATACTCACGCGTGACATGCACTAATAAAAGACTACACCTAACTACCCCATCAAACTGTCCAAATCCTTTAGTAATGTAATACAATTGACCATTACTTCTTTTCTTGATATTTAGTCGTTTTTCCTCAAAACTCATTGTCCAAATTTCTAGGTAGACATTATCCGGCCGAATATCGCGTAGATAATACGTTTTCAAAATTATTTGACAATGGGTACTGCAGACTCAAAACTTTTAAGCTCTTAAATTGAATTTTCATCCTTCAATATGGGATACTCTCAACACTGACATCATAACAATTTCTCAATTTTGATCAACTTAACCCTAACTGTTGGTTCCAAATTTTTTATGTTGTGATAGTGTTGGAATTCAGAATAATTATCACAAGTGAGGATTGCAAGAGGATTTTGGAATTCTAAAACACAAAATGGGACAAAAGAATATTGAATGATTTTGTGTCCGGTTTGTGTTTATTGATGCATAACAATCAAACACCAACTTTCGAAAACAGCCATGATGATTACCAATGACACCATTTTGAGTCCAATATATAGTTAAATGTCTCTTCGTGGAAAGACAGTTTTATTTTAGCCCATTGGTTTACCAATTTATTGGCATACCTTCATAATCAAGAAAAAAAAAGAATAATTAAGAAAATAATAATAATAATCAAGTGAGCAACCTCTATAATTAAGTCAATTAAAACATAATATTCTCTGAAACTTTTATCCCCGCACTTCGAAAGGTCCCCTCTAGCCTCGATTGAATTTGAAACCAACAACAAAAATAAAATAAAAAAATTAGATGTGAATTGTCAAACATTCTTTTATACTGGGTTAAATATTAGTTGAACAAATGAGAGGGCCTTTGGGGGTTCAACATTCACATATTCATATATATAAATATATATAAATATATATATATATATATATATATATATATATTATA